AGCAACAACCACAGCACCAGGAACAGCCGCAGCAGCAGCAGCAGCAGCTGCAGCAGCAGCAGCAGCTGCAGCAGCAGCAGCAGCCGCAGCAGAAGCAGCAGCTGCAGCAGCAGCAGCTGCTGCAGCAGCAGCAGCAGCTGCAGCAGCAGCAGCTGCAGCAGCAGCAGCAGCAGACCTGGTGCTTCTCATTTGCATGCAGTGCAGCAAAGTCGTCATATTCAATAACTGGCAGCAGCTGCTGCAGCTGCTGCAGCAGCAGCAGCTCCCCCCACCGAAGCCGCGAGGGCTTTTCTAGCTGCCAGTGCTGCAGCAGACACCAGGGCGGCAGCACCAGCACGTACACTTGCTGCTGCTGCTGCTGCTGCTGCTGCTGCTGCTGCTGTAAAGCCTTCTGCTGCTGCTGCTGCAGTGCCTGTTGTTCATGCTGCTGCTGCTGCTGCTGCTGCTGCTGCAGGTTCAAACGCTGGAGAGCCAGGGCGATGCGGACCACGACTTCCTTCTGTAGCTGCAGCAGCAGCAGCAGCAGCAGCAGCAACAGCAGCAGCAGCAGCAACAGCAGCAGCAGCAGCAGCAACAGCAGGAGCAGCAGCAGCAGCAGGAGCAGGAGCAGCAGCAACAGCAGCATCAGCAGCAGCAGCAAGTAGAACATGTGAGCTAAGCGTGGGGCTGCAGAGCAGCAGCAACAGCAGCAACTAAGGCAGCGGGAGAGAAGGCACAGGAGCAGCAAGTCGCCAGCCTTTGAGTTCTAGGGTTTAGGGTTTAGGGTTTAGGGTTTAGGGTTTAGGGTTTAGAGTTTAGAGTTTAGGGTTTGAGTTACATTGAAGCCTTCGCCATTGCGCACATCGTACAAGACATAGACAAAGTGTTTGCTGCTGCAGAGTCTGCTGCTGCTGCTGCTGCTGTTGCTGCTGCTGCTGCTGCTGTTGTTGCTGCTGCTGCAGCATGTCTTGTTGCTGCTTGCCAGCGACGAAAGATGCACAGAGAGCTGCCCGTAAGAAGCACAACTTGCTGCTGCTGCTGCTGCTGCATCTGCTGCTGCTGCTGCTGCTGTCGGTGCTGCTGCTGCGCAAATCACGGCCAGCAGCAGCACGAGGCGAAGCAGCAGCAGCAGCAGCAGCTGCTGCTGCTGCTGCAGCGGGGAGAACCGCGCCTTTTTGCTGCTGGCGTACATAGACAAGCACATCTGCTGCTGCTGCTGCTGCTGCTGCTACTTTTGCTGCTGCTGCTGCTGCAGCAGCAGAATTTTCTCCCTTGCGTTGAGTCTTGTACAGCAAAAAATAATAAAACCCTAAACCCTAAACCCTAAACCCTAAACCCTAAACCCTCGGCCATGGACCGTCTCTTCCAAGCTAGCTGTCTCTCTCGGCCCTGGGGGCCCCAGTCTTAAAAGAGCCCTCAAACCCTAAACCCTAAACCCTAAACCCTAGACCATAAACCCTAAACCCTAATTTTTAATGCAACAAAACAACAAATTTAATAAAGACAAACGGAAGAGGGGTTTGTTGAGTTCGGGGCTGCTGCTCGCGAGCTATGGCCTCAACCGCCAAACCCTAAACCCTAAACCCTAAACCCTAAACCCTACGCTCTAAACCCTAAACCCTAAACCCTGAAAACTAATTTAGAACATAATCTATTTTATTTTGCCTTGACTGGCAGCTCCTAACCTGCAACTTAGGGTTTAGGGTTTAGGGTTTAGTCTGGGGGCCAGGCTTCGTAGGGATGGGGGGTAGCAGCTAACAGAGCCTAAACCCTAAACCCTAAACCCTAAACCCTAAACCCTAAACCCTAAATTGTAGGTCTTAAACAGAAATAATTTGGGCTTAAGTTCGCAGCCGGCGAGAGCCCACTAAAAATGGGCGAGCAAAGCTGCTGCTGCTGCTGCTGCTGCTGTTGCTGCAGCAGCAGCAGCACGAAACTTGCTGCTGTCCGCTCGTAAACAGCAGCTGCAGTTGCCTCTAAACCCTTTTTTAGGGTTTAGGGTTTCGGGTTGCAGGCAAGACTGTGCAGTGTGCGCCGACCCAGCAGTGGCGCGCTGCCCCCGCCGGTGGCCCCTGAAACCCTCAAATAGGGTTTAGGGTTTAGGGTTTAGGGTTTAGGGTTTAGTGCTGAGCTGTGAACCACTGGACCCCCGCCAACTTCAAATTATTTGCTGCAGCAAAGTCGAGGGCTCTGCCGATGCCGCCCCACCTGGCTCTGCTGCTGTTTCCTGGCAGCTGCTGCAGCAGCAGCCGCTGCTGCTGCTGCTGCTGCTGCTGCTGCGGCTGCTGCTGCTGCTGCTGCTGCTGCTGCTGCTGGTCTAGAGACGCAGCAAACAGCAGCAGCACGTAGCGGTGGAAGCCGGTGTCGCGGGGGGGGGCTGGGGGGCGGTAAGGCACTGAGTCCAAACCACAAACCCTAAACCCTAAACCCTAAACCCTAAACCCTAAACCCTAGTTGAGCCCTAAACCCTAGCAGCAAACCCCACACCTAGGAAGCAGTTAACTGCAGCACACGAACTGCC